TGCTGACACAGGATGTCACGGTGGTCCCACACAGTCGCCCTCTGTGCAGAGGAGATGTAGTGTGGAGAAAGGTGGCCCTGTGCCCTCCATCCCAGGGCCCCGGGGCCAGATAAGACCAGCTGTGTTGAAGACACTGCAGCCCACAGCTGTCCTATTGCATGAGCAAGCGACCCTCGCTGGTTTTGTGGGCTCCGTCTTTGCAGAAAGGTCCTTGTCTGGGTTAGCCTGTTCTAAATGGTTGAAGTTATTGAAAATCTGACTTCCAGGGGTTCTAGTAGTTGCCACATAAAATTTTTCATCTTGGCCTTTCAAACTTTAATGTGCCCATGAAACACCGGGGCTCTTGTTAAAATGCAGATTCTGGCCCGGGGGGTTGGCTGGAGCCTGAGACTCTGCTTTCTAGCCATTCCCAGTGATTGTCCATGCTGCTGGCCCATGGGCCACACCTGAGCTGGGATACATGGTCTGGCTGGGTCCACTGGGCCCGAGAAGCTGCTGAGAAGTCCACTCTTGTGGTTAAATGCCAGTCACTTCCTGTCTCTCCAACGGGCCAAGCAGAACCTAAAAGTGGACTCATCCTGTGGGTCAGAGCTGTCCCTCAGGAGACAGGTGACCATGGAGGCCTCCTACTTGCTCTCACGGTGGAAGGCTCTGTCTCTAGGAAGCCCTCTTTGGTGTCCCAGAGAAGTTTACATCCTGTGATTCTGTGTTAGAATTCATAACACTTAGGGCCCAGCAGATGGCAGAATGGTTATGTTGCTGGACTCTCACATAGTTGAGCAAGGTTCGAGTCCTGGACCCGGTGGCTTAAAACTCACACTGGGTGCATGCCCAAGATCCTGAGGCGAATGGAAGAGAAAGGATTGTGGCATGGCCATTCCCTCTGGGAGGGGTAATTCCTTGCTTGCTGTCTCTCTGTCTCTCCAGCAAGCACACACACCCTAAAGCAAAACTCTCTCTTAAAAAACAAAATACAACACTTAATACTCCTTCCGTCCTTTTCTCACTCTCTCTCTTCCCTCCCCTTTGTTTTCAGTCCAGCTGTCCACCTTCCCACCATTTGCCAACAGCTGCCCCAACCCTCCTGTGTGTCAGACACTGTTGTAGGTACAGGCATGCAGGAGGGGACATTTAAGTGGATCATAAATACTACAGGGCAGGGGCTGTGCCTCTTTGTTAGGAGTGGCTAAGAGCATGATGCTCTGAGCAATACTCTTCCCGTCTGTAACCGGGCCTCTGGTTAAAATGCAGATTCTGGCTGGGGGGGTTGGCTGGAGCCTGAGACTCTGCTTTCTAGCCATTCCCAGTGATTGTCCATGCTGCTGGCCCATGGGCCACACCTGAGCTGGGATACATGGTCTGGCTGGGTCCACTGGGCCCGAGAAGCTGCTGAGAAGTCCACTCTTGTGGTTAAATGCCAGTCACTTCCTGTCTCTCCAACGGGCCAAGCAGAACCTAAAAGTGGACTCATCCTGTGGGTCAGAGCTGTCCCTCAGGAGACAGGTGACCATGGAGGCCTCCTACTTGCTCTCACGGTGGAAGGCTCTGTCTCTAGGAAGCCCTCTTTGGTGTCCCAGAGAAGTTTACATCCTGTGATTCTGTGTTAGAATTCATAACACTTAGGGCCCAGCAGATGGCAGAATGGTTATGTTGCTGGACTCTCACATAGTTGAGCAAGGTTCGAGTCCTGGACCCGGTGGCTTAAAACTCACACTGGGTGCATGCCCAAGATCCTGAGGCGAATGGAAGAGAAAGGATTGTGGCATGGCCATTCCCTCTGGGAGGGGTAATTCCTTGCTTGCTGTCTCTCTGTCTCTCCAGCAAGCACACACACCCTAAAGCAAAACTCTCTCTTAAAAAACAAAATACAACACTTAATACTCCTTCCGTCCTTTTCTCACTCTCTCTCTTCCCTCCCCTTTGTTTTCAGTCCAGCTGTCCACCTTCCCACCATTTGCCAACAGCTGCCCCAACCCTCCTGTGTGTCAGACACTGTTGTAGGTACAGGCATGCAGGAGGGGACATTTAAGTGGATCATAAATACTACAGGGCAGGGGCTGTGCCTCTTTGTTAGGAGTGGCTAAGAGCATGATGCTCTGAGCAATACTCTTCCCGTCTGTAAGCTGGGACAGGACAGTACTTACCTGCAGAGCGCGGTGAGGGCCTATGTGCACCTGCCACCTGCGTGCTCTGCCGCTCTCATAGGTTCTTATGGCCCCTGCGCCCAGAGCAGCCTGCATCTCACCACCATGCTCCCTGAGGGACTCCACCAAAAGCAAAGATTGGCTGGTGCCCCCAGTGACTCCTCTCTGGGAGGCTGAAGGGAGGAAGGGCTCACCTGTCCAGGTGGAAGGCCGCGATCTCCGCATTGTGCCTCTCGTAGTCAGAGAAATAAAAAAAGTCGGGGGGTGTCTCCTGCTCCCTGGTCTGCCTAGAGGCAATGAGATAAACACAGAAAATGATTTGTCTCTGAGAAGATGTCTAGTTGAAGGGTGCCTGCCTGCCGTGGTGTACCCGGACCAACCTTCAAGAACCAACTGCTAAATTGCCAAGAACTATGCTAACTAACTGGGTGATTGGGAAAGTCATGATGCATTTTTGCATAGAAAAATATGTCGGGACTTACCTGATGACCTGATAGCTAAAAATGCTGTCGTTGTTAAAAATCAAATTATATAAACTTGTGATTAGATACATTATATTTTAAAAGTAGTAAGAACGTAAATCTCATCCTCTTCTAGTTGGGTTATTTCCATCCCTTGTATCTGCAGGGCAGAGACACCACATAATGGGTGATGCCGTGCATTTCTTCCCGCTCTACACCAATGACCTCATTCTGGCAGCTTCAAATCAGCCAGGAACGCATTTACACTATCGGAATTGGCAAACTCCACAAATTAGGCTTTTTCTCCCTGGGGGATGCTGATTATCAAATATTTATCAGCCCAGTGTGCCTGTGTGCCTGGTATTCTGACTAGCTGAGAAGATCGGGGTGGGACAGGGGCTTGGTGTGATGAGACTCTATTGAGGGTGCTTGTCTTTCTCTCAAAAGAGAAAGGGGGGAAGCAGGGAAGGAAGGAGGGAAGGAGAAAGGAAGAGAAATGAAAAAATGGTATTGGCCTATCACTAGGTCTACACCAACAGTCAAACAGATTCTCCAGCAAAGTTGCTGGGCAAGGGCAGCTCCTGCCTCTGCACCCAGATTTGGCCAAGAGTGAGCACATGGGTAGGAGGGCAGGGTAGGTCCTGGTTGCAGAGGGATTGCCCCTCAACTGAACAAATGCAGATTTCTCCAGGGTGTAGACTTGGGGTTGGGGGTCAGGTTAGGCAAACAATTCTTCCAGCCTACCTTTAGTCACCCTACCAGAAAGAAAGTGCCCAGAGCAAGGCTTGCCACCTCCCCGGGAGAGCACTCCCTCAACATGAGAGTCTGGAGGCTTTCTTAGGGTCTACCTGTGGTCTGTCTTTCCTGTTGTCTACAAGAGGTGATCTGTTTCTCAGCGTCTACCCCAGTCCCTGCTGCCTATTCATCTGCCCAGGTTCTGTCTGCTCTTCCCATATTTTGAGCTCTAGTCACCACCTCCTCATTTTCTGCTCTGTCTTTGCTCACGCAGTTTCACCTTCCCACACTGACCTTTTTACGTCTCCCATGGCTAAATCCACTTTTTTGAAAGTATGTCCCACAGAATACCAGGCCCAGGACTTCCTAGCACACAAGGAGTCATCAGGCAGGGGAGTTTGGGGTTTGGGTAGCAGTGCCTACAAGAGCACCTCTAGGGTCTCAGCGGTGCACATTCATATCCTAAAGGCTCTGATACGGTCTGCAGCCAGTTTTTTCCATTGACTGTGGAACTCATTTTGCACACAGCTTTCAAGAACCGACTGTTAAATAGCATACTCTGCAGTATTAAGAACTGCCAGGTTAAGCTTTAAATCCAGGTTATTTCCAGGCCCCAACTCAAAAGCAGACTCCTTCACAAAACCTTCCATGATGCTGCAGCAAAGATGACCATCCCTAGCCTCGTTAGCATAGGGGCACACAGCTGTGTTGCTGACACCTCAACACAAAGCCAGAGCTGGGCCCCCAGCTGCTCCCGGCACTGTGCTGCCTGCCTCTTCTACAGAAGATGACAGCTGCCTGCAGCCCCTTGAAGACAGTTTCCCTGCATGAGAAGCAAGGAGTTTAAACCATAAACTCAGGTTTAATGCTACCTGAGTGGCCTTGGGCAAGGGACAGGCTGTCAGAACCTCACTCCTAAAGTTTAAGGAAATGAGAGAGCGGTGATATGTGACATGGATGCCTGATGCCTGTGTGACTAGCACTGTGGGGCCACTCTTCCCTGGAATAGCCCACCCTCTCTGGGCTTCTCTGTCTGCCCTAAAGGACCTCTTTGGCTATGACATTGGTGCCTCCCACAGTGGTCAGCTGACAGTTGCAGAAGCAGGAAGGCTTGCACCTTCCATCCCTCCACCCCAGCCAAGGGCCATGGAGCCACACCCAGGACTGCTTTGGAAAGGTCAGGTCACTTTGCAAACACTGAAGATCTCAAGGATCTCAGCTCTGAAATGTCTAACACACTTCTGGGCAGGCAGGGACGAACCACCAGGGCTCCTTTGGGTCCTTGTCAATGCAAGTGTTTGACCTTAAAAGTTTGGAAATGTTAACCTATTGTCACTCAAAGCCACGTCTGTGAGCAAATGCTTCCTGCATGAGATCCAGGTCCACTCTGTGTCCCTGCCTCTACCTCCAGGAGGCACCTCTCAGGCCAGGCCTGGGGAGGAAGTAGCCCTTAATCCAAAGAAAATTTCACGAAATCTGATAAACTCGACTTACTAGAAGAAAAGACCACAACCTTTCCAGGTACTGGAGCACGCATACCTGGCGGGAATCCGCCCACACAGGAGCCAGCCCAAGAGGAGACTGCCCGCCCGCTCTGGGCTCAAAGGCTCACTGCATTTTCCCAGGTAACTCTTCCCATCCCTTGGCTTCCATGGCTTGGGTCCTTCATCCTGACAGGCAGCTAGGATCACCGGAACTCTTCTGAGCACCCCAACCCCCATCACCTGCCACTGTTATTGCCAAACGGCGGTACATGGGATGACACATATCTGCCAGCATTGGCGAGTGTTTATTTCCGATCAGGGAGGATCAAATCCAGGCCTCAGGCCAATCAATTACACATCTGCTGCTGGCTGCCTCTGTGCCTGGGTGTTCTCAGAAAGCTGTCATCAGGGACACTATTGTCCATGTTTCCCTGAACCTTATTTGCCCAAATGAAGGATTTCCTCATCAGACGTTCTAAGAGCCAGTATGGAATGCTGGGTACGCTGGGAATAGCCCGATTTTCATTATTCCCTGTAACATTCACCTGGACAAGACTCAGGTTAGTAATGGCCTTCCATGGAGGCCCTCTGAGAGGCCCGTGGGCTGTTACAGGAGCTATTTACAAATCTAATGCAGATGGCAAGCTGATAAACGAAGGGCATGCTCATTTAAAAACCATGTTGATTTGTGGCCCTTGCTGTCATTGCACATTTCCTCAATCGAGTGACAGTTAGGGAGGTTGACAGCCAGGCAAGGTTGCTGGTGATGGGAGTGGGTGACAGACTGAGTGGGCAGCCCCTCTCAGGGGCAGGGCTTGCAGCCACCTCTAGGGTTCCCTGCAGAGGGAAGGCCAGGGCGGGCCATGGCTTCTGTGATTTCAAGAGAAAGAGTCTAGCCTTTGTGAGATCTCCTGGTTTTTAGATGCCTGCAAATGAATTTTATATTTTAAAAACACTGTGGGTTAAACCAAATAGGTCAGCCTGCTGGATTGAAACCTCCCCCACCCCCCCCATCCCTGTTTCTAAGTTGGTAGCTCTGTAGTGGTGGATATTTTCGAGGTTAAAAAGCAGTCATTGTATTCAGCGTGAGCATAACTTCCAGTGAAACCCATTCCACAGAACACTAGTCCTACGGGATTTTAGTAAGTCTTACCGGAAAAATGGGAATACAGATTGAAGCAAGATTTCTTTTCAGTGAACATCTATTTGGAGACTCCCCAGAACAGCCCTGCCCACAGCACTCCCAAACATACCCTTTCAAAGCATCCACCTGGCCTGCTCCGTGGCCTTTTTAAGTGTATTGTGGAATAAAGAACTATTTTTCTTGGAAAATTCTGGCCTCAACATTCATTCACTGGGCAGTCCACTGTGGCTCTGGGCACAGCCCTGCATGGAGTCCCTGAAACATCCCGGTAGGAGGTTCTACACAGGCCCTGCCTAGCAGGGGAACAGCTATTCTCGCCTCATTCAGGTTCCCTGGAAAAATGCCGTTCCATGTCCCACTTGGTCTGCCGCTTGGTGTAGGCCCCTGAATTGCACCTGGACTCTCGGCTCCTCCTTCATCCTCCAGCCCAGTATCGTCCAACAGTGAGCACTGTCCTGGGTGACGAATGTGCTACTCTGCACTGTCCACTATGGCAGCTGCTGGCCACATGTGGCTGTCAGGCACGTGAAATGTGGCTAAAGCCACTGAGGGATTGAGCATTTTATTTCATTTCCGCTAACTGGAATGTCAATAGGCCCATGTGGCTCACCTACTAGGCAGCGCTACTCTGCAGTCAGGGGCCTCTCTGAGGTCTCCAGTGTCTCTGGCTGTCCCCGCCTAGGTGGGATGGAGGGGCGCCAGACAATCTCCATCAGCCAGCCTCCAGCCCTGTTCCCCAGTGCCATGTGCTGCTGAAATTACATTTAACAACTTTGATTGGGCCAGCCGGGGGGTGGGGGATGTTGGTGGACTAGGTGGCTGGATCTCACACAGTCAGCTCTCCCCTGGTCACTGCCTCTGGGATGCCCCTCTGGAATCATTCAGAATTGTGGATCCCATCTGCACCTAGGTGGCACCCTAGGTGCTCACAAAACCCATCAGTGGTTGCTGCAGTGAGCCCCACCCTGCTCCTGCTGGCCTGTCCACAGAGGCCTGCAGAAAGGCATGGTCAGACACACTCCCGAGGAGCGCTGACGGCACATCTCCAGGTCTGTGTTAATTCTCAGTCTATCACTGACCAACTGTGTGACCCCTTCCCAGCCCCAGATTCCGGGCCTGACGTGGAGAGTAAGAGCAGCTGCCTCCCAGGGCTGTTGGATGAAGTAGACTGTCGATGCTCAATGTGTGGTGGAGCTACATCTACAAGTGCAAGTGGGACATTCATTTGGAGCTCTCTAGGTCTGGCTCTTTAATGATCACTGAGCAGTAAGCCCCAGGGAAACTGAGGCCCGGGGAGGAACAGACCTAGGTAACAGGCACTGGGAGTCAGTGTAGGCTGGGCCCAACGTGCCGTGTGGTTCAACTCTGACTGCCCACTCCAGGCATGCACATGCACACATGCACATGAATGCATGCATCTGAATACATACCTGCGCCCTGGCACACATATGAGGCACATGCCT